CTTCATGAAGATTGTGGAAATATGTTTGAAAATGGTTGCTATTTAAGGCGACAAAAGCGGTTTAAAATAAACGATGGTAAACCAAAAAACAAAAAAACCAAAGTAAGCATCATATCAAATTCGTGTTCTCTAACTTTATACAAATTTTTGCATGAATATTTTTTGTCAGTAACTTTATACTTATACGTGCATTTAAACTTACTGCAAAGTTAATAGATAAGCATTTTAATATAAAATAGCAATCATAATTATTCAGCATTTACCGACGTAATATACAAGTACTTATGAAGAGATTTAATATCACATTGAGATTATTAACAGTAAAATTAATTTGCAGAGTGGTACTACTTCAAAATCAAGCCAAATTAAAGAAGAACGGGATGAAGACATAGTAGACAGCAAAGGAGCTAACAGGAGGACTGAAATTAAAATTGCAAGTGGTTCTCAGAAAAAGCAGCAACCGGACATGGCATCTTCTCCACCGAGCGAAGTATTCATGCAAATTTATGATATTATTTGTTAATTTAGAGCAGTTGATCGCTTCTGTGGAGATAAATTAATCTTATGATTGTAATTGTAACTGTTTTGCATAATTTGTAATTAAGTGTGTATTGTTTTTCATAATGCTAAGCTTTGCAACAATAATTTGCTAGGACGAGGTATTTGATGATTTTTTACAGTAATACAGTGAATTAATTCCAAACAGGATATTCATTACTTTTAGTGACTAATTTAAAGACAAAAGTTGTGATGCACAAAGTTTCTGTAATATAAAATTTGTTATATCTAAACAAAATTTTATAAGTTATAATGCTAACGTTATTACTTTAATTGACTAATTTCAGGCAGAAACAAATGCTACAATTGATCATGCCGTTAGTAGTACTACAAGCTTACAGTTAACTAGAAGTCAACCACAACAGCTAATGCAATCCATACAATCATCTACTGCTGATTCGTTGTCAACATCTACTGTAAGCAGTCAACCTACTAGTGTCATATCAGCTGTCGGTACTGTACCGGTAAGTTAATCATGAATCCCATTGCCTGACAAACTATTCCTATAAAAAATTTCAGCCCCTTTAATATTTAATATTATTTATTGAAAAAGGCCACAACTCTTACAAAGTTTTTTATTGGTAGTAGTACTTGAATTTAATTAAAAACTTAATAAAATTAAAGATGTATTAGAATTATTAAGAAATATCCAATAAAATTATTATGCTCTGTTTATTTGAATGAACATTTTGTTTTGTTTTTTGACATGAAAATTAAGCACAGTATGTTATTCGAAATTACAGTTTCTTGAGTGAACACAAACAGATTCAATGAAATATTATTTCTTAGATGAGCCCGTACGCCAATCAATATCCATCATTTGGGTTGTACTCTAATGGAGCTATGACTGCGGTACATCCCGAGTTATCTCAGACAGCTTTGCCTACTCTTACTCCGAGTGCTTTTCGTATTGGAAGTCTAATCGATAATTATAGTATGTACAATAATATGTACGCTGCGCAACCATCCAACTCCCTCAGTGATTATCCTTATCAGCAAACACTGTATAGGTAAGAAATCAATAAATTAGTGTTATGTTTCAAAAAGTACTTACTACTAAGTTTAAATAATTTCTGTTGTGAATACATTTTTCCACATTTTAGTGCGAAGTAAATAGACTTGATATGATGCATTTAATCAGATCTTTTTTAGTAATATGCATGATATACTTGATAATAATGATGGAGATGATAAGAAATTAGTCTAAATAACATGAGTAACTTAGCACGGACTTCACATTGCAGCAAATAAGTTAGATCTTATTAGTGATTGGCTTGATAGGAACAAAGCTGTTACCAAATATCTATTTTCATGCTTATTCTCTACCGTGTTTTTGATAGCATAATGTCTTTTTTAGTTTTTCGAGCCAAATTCATCAGATTATTTATTAAATTTGCATATTTTGTCTTTGAATATTTCACAAAATTTGCTTTTCAGTTCAAATAATCCAAATTCGTTGCCCAATTTGTAAGCGAAACTCAAATAAACATTCAGCCGTGGGAAAATGAGTATGGATGAGTTTAACTTTAGTGCCTCAATTCAATAACTAAGTAAATTAATTGTTTTGAAAATTTTTGACAAATTTACTTGTTTTCAATTTTTTCACTACTTTCATTTTGTAGTATGAACTATTCATAGTCAACAGCAGTGTTTGCAATTCGTTAAACAATTTGCAAGCATTCCAAATTTTGTTCTAATAAAAATGCTTAAATAAATAATTCATAGTTTATACATAAAGATCTACCTACTCACGTATTACTCACGTAGATCTAAAAGTGAAATAGTGATTATTATATATTGTGCATAATTTTTACTCATTATTTATTGTGTGTTTTGATGAAAATGCAAATCATCAACAAAATTTGCGATGTTTCCTAAAGAAAATGCAAAGGGCTCATTAATTAATGATAGATTAGAGTTATTTTTGGTAGTATAAGTATAAAATTTAACAGATTTATATCACTTAATGCAACAGTTTTATTGCTGTATTACAATTTCTTTTACTTTTAATAAATACTTTAATAAATTTCTTATAGCAAAATATTTAAATGCTCGAAATTTACTGATCATTACCTCTTTGCATTTATTCATATTTTTGTTAGAAGAGAAAGCTCAATTTTTTAATCCTCAAAATTGATTTTATGTGAAAAAATATTACTATTTAAAATATTGAATCAATTTTAAGTAGTAATATCTCTTAAATTGTTAGTTTAGATATTAAATATGTATAATTAGATGTAAGAGTTGTCTTTACAAAATGCTTACAGGTATTTTTTATGTGAGATTCATATGAGAAGAGTATTATTTGAACGATAGCATTCAAGTTTCTGATTTTTCTTATTGTTTAATTACGTATACTTTTGTTCAAGGCTTTCTTTTTTATCCAAAAATCTTTTATATCAAAAAGCATTATGATTTTAATTTGAGTATTTCACTGAGAAACAAAAATAATGATTCTTGATCAGGGATGGCAGAATCTCTATGCAAAATTGATTCTCAAATTTTTTATCACCAATCTTTAAATTTGCTCCACAAAAGTGTGCACACGAATATCAATTTGCTTTCATTTCTTCATTTTTGATCACTATTTTATTATTATTATTATTATTATTATTATTATTATTATTATTTCATTTGGTTCTGTATGGTTGCTGAGATTATTTCCAATAATGGCGATCAAAGTTTGATAATTTAAAATTATGTGTGATAATTTGGGCTTTTTTTCAATTTCTGTCTGTAAATTTGAATAAAATTTACAGTTTTATGTAATTGTGTACAATACTTTTTGCATACAGAAATGTTTTAATTCTTAAAGTATTATATCACTTTTATTCAAAACATTCCTTGTTAAAATTTTGATATAATTCTTGCAGACACAATTTCTCACACTATGCAAATACTTTTTCTGAGTTATCGGAAATAAATAGTGCTACAATCTTTTTTATTATACGTAAAAAAATAGAAAGGACGAAGGAACTTTATGCAAATTTTTGAAATACAAAAATAGATGAGCAAACGAACTGAATTTTTTGTAAAAATGAATTCATAATTCTTCATAATTATTAATTGTTAATCGATAAAATATTATAAAAATACAATTAATCCAATTTGAATTTTAATACAAAAATTTTTCACTCCATCTAAATAGTGAACTTTAGATTATTCTATTTGATTATTTTCTGAAAAATACATTGAAAACTCTGCAACTAAACTACTTAACTTCACACTAAGGTTTCATTTGAAATTGGTGCTTGACCTTTACTTCACTTTACAAAGTAATCTAAACTTTATGGTCCAGGATATACACTGCGCAAAAATGTAATGGATTGTTTGCGATACAATGGACAAGCAGAACTCACTTCACTACAGGTGTCCATTATTGCATGCTTAATGAATTGAAAGGTATGTATGCCATACTCATAAATAGAAAATGAATAGAATCATTCACAGCCATATTTGACGAGGATATTATTACTCTATAAGACAATACAGTGTACAACTCAAAATGACAAGAAGGATAATGAGTGCGCCGATTGGAAAATCCCACTTTTTGCATTTCCGGACAACTCATTTTCAATTGTGTAATATTCGCAATAAATATCAGAGGGCCAATATTAATTATACAAATTTTAATAGATAGCTATATCCTTCCATTAAGATATCAATTTCTAAAATTAAGGATCATAACGGTCAATCTCACTCAGATCATCGATGAAATTGTTCAGATTTTGGCATGGCTGACTGAAATTAACTTTACATTACTATTTCTTGCTTTAAAATGATTGTATTTTTAAAGCAAACGAAAATTCAATTCTGAAAAACGCTGTAGCATTCACAGCAGTGTTACTCTTCAATGTTAATGACAGAAAACTCGTTTATTCAATGAAGACATATTAACAAAATACTTCAAACAAGTAACAACTAACTGAAAATATGACTTAAACTGACACGGATTCTTTCACGTATAATCTGTTAATGATTAGCGTGCATTCAGATATGTATAATATAAAATTCAGCTAGGTTTTGCCTGTAAACTTTAAAGAAAATTGTTGAATTAAATTAAAGAGGTTGAAATAGCTATCAAGACTGAAAACTTTAAAAATAATTCAAAACTTGCTTCCGAACTATTTTTTTAACCTCTTTAATTAATTGCACAATTTTTTTAACATATGAATTAAGTCATCGAGGCGCGCATGAATAACTAATAAAGTTTTAGAATTTTGCACCACAGCTGAGAGAAATTGAAAGTATAGTAAGAATAAATTCAAATAATGAAACGAAAGCTAATTTTTTTAAAAACTGCTGACAAATTATGAAAAAAAAAGAGAATAGACGAGAAACAAATTTTAAATTTTGAAATACAATTCAATATAAATAGAAATGAGCAAAGTCAGATACTTGTGATTGCAAGATATGGAAAAGGAACTAATAGCAGTCAAGAAAACCAAAAGTGACCATTTGTTTAAAAATCCTAAAATTAAAATGACCATTTGATTAAAAAAAAATGTTAAAATTAACTGACCCATTTGGACATTTTCAACTAATATTATTACATTTTCTGAGAATAGCCTTAACTTGAAGGCTAAACTCATCCGTATTTTAAAATCAAATGGCAAATAACGACACAAACTTAATTCTACCCATCTAACGACCAGTACTAGAGAGAAAAAGTAGCAAATTTCTTACATTTTAACACAAAAAAATAACTACACATAACCTCTGTCATAAACTAAACATGAAAAATGATAATTCTTTATGGCAAACCAAATTGCAACTTATTAAGCATATTAATTTTACACTGTTACAGCAATAAACGAAAATTTAACTATAAAAATTATTTAAAGCATTTTTAGAATAAATAAATGAAAAACGACTATTTTTGAAAT